ATCCCACTCAGATGCTCTACACTCTTATCTGTCAGCTGTGATTTTCTACTTGCTGAATGTTTACTCTATGGAACTCCATGGACAAAGCATGCAAGAAGGTTATCAGATCCCATTAGGACACCTGGAAACACCAACATAAATATTCTACTGCTTTCACATCAGAAGTGAAACAAAAAGAGAGGAAGTAGGCAAGAAGGGGAAGATTTCACTTTCTTTCTCCCACACACAACCAACCAGGTGAAGCAAGTAATATCAGTCTTCCTTCCTTAATCTGTCATTAACACAAGCTAACATTTTAGCACTTTCTCTAGATTTAAACCTACATTCTAAGACAGTATACTAACTGACAATTCAGAAAAATGTTCATGTTTACTCACATTTTGTTTGCCAGCCTCAGGGATGTACAGCTAAGACATGCCCGATCTCCCAAGTTACCTAGAAAAATACCAATAATTAGCACCAATTCTGAAATTCAGGAGGACATTTATCCATGTAGTGAACTGCACACAAATACATGAGTGAAAAGATTGACCTTTACACAGAAATGGTTACTACTGAAAGCACAAAAAGATGTTCCTTAACACGCAGAGCTGAACTCTGTGGATGTGTGAGGGATGTGTGAGGTTGGTTTGCTCTTGTACAACTGCCTGAAGACAGGTTTTCAACTCCCCCAGGCAAGAAACTGTATTGCAGAGGAACTTAAGCAAATGTAATTTTTTAACAACTCTATGACAACATAGTATCAGATGAGCCAAAAGGAGCCATTGCCAAGTGTTTGGGATTTAAATGGCTTTTTGTTTTGTTTCAAGTAAAACAAATAAAACACAAGCAGGAACTTAAAGATGATTTACTAGAGAGGTAGAACCACAACTCCATTTCAATACACTGCTGTCCATTTTGATTAGCACCTGGTAAAAATAGCCCTACCCCATGATCTCTCTGCAAAGGATACAAATTGTCTTGAAGGGAGGGGTGATAGCCTGACCCAAAGCATATAAAAAGTTAGTTTTCAGAAAACACTGTATCCCTCAACATGAATTTTATTTGAACACTACCTCAGAATCAGTCCTAATAGTAGCTAATAAAATCCAAAAGAAGGGCTGACACCTATATACGAGCACCCTCTATCCAGGTACACAGACAAACAGCATCCATTCTGGAAATAAATCGAGAATATCATCAAATCATAAATCATCTAAGTCATGTGCTCCAATAAAGAGCCATGTTTGAAAGTATTCCGATTATGGAAGAAGCATAAACAACAAAAAATGCTACCTAGTGACTGCACACAATCTACAATCATTGAAAATCATCCCTGATCCCACTAAAAAGGAATTCAAGTTCCTAAAGCAACCTTAAAAAAGTAAATCTTGTATCAACATCTTGCTACAGTAACTCAATAGGTAGCTACTACCAAGAGCAAAAACACTTCTGGACAGATCATAGAAAAATCACACAAGCAAGACTTGAAACATGTTGACTCTTTTTAGCCAATCTTTTCAGAATTCACCATAGCCAATGTAAAATTGGAAGGCTGGATAGAGTAGGCATACTGTGGTTTGTTTCTCCCATCTGGAACCTACCACTTCTGGTCAATCCTAAGAGACAGCAGGATACAAAAGTCATTTGAGAGGTCCGTGGTACCCTTTCCCACCATCAAAGCCAAGATACAGCCTATGACAGAACCTAAGGACAGCTGTAGCTGAGAAAACACAGCACCCAATGCCAACGACCAAAAGCCTTCCCCAACAAAATACCCCAATTATTAGGGGAAAAGAGATGCTGCCAAAATCAGGTGGGACAATCGGAAGGTATAGAAGATAAATTAACTTATCTGAGGAAAATCTTGATAATCAAGGGATGTCTCCATGCTAAGTGGGCTCTGAAGTAATTACAACAAAAGCTGTGGCATTATCAAGTCAAAGGATTTATCCATGTCAAGTTGTATCAAACCCAAACACTCACTGCCACTGCAAATGGAGCCAGGGAAAAGCTGTCTCTTCCTGGCTCAAAAAGCAAGCCCTGAGAATCTGTGAAGGTATTGTGATTTTCTCCAATATTTACAGAAAGAACAGTAGCTCAATTACTTAACCCAAGAGGCCAACCCAGAAGGACATCCCTGACCTCAAGGAGCAGCTGAGCAAAGCAGAGAATTGCTCAGTGTCTGGAGGGATAAGTCACAGCACAGTAATCTGTCTCACCAGAGTGCCAGGAAGCCCACAAAGCCTTATGTGCCTAAAGCTAGAGTCCTGCTAGGAGAGGCCATGCCTGCTATGGATAGGTGCCTCTAGAACTAAAAGGGTTGATCTGGAGCTCAAAACTGGATTGGAGTTTCTTAGATAAAACTCCATAGTTTTCACTCCATAGTTCACTTCACTTACCTTCTTTCAAACCAGGCTCATTAAATCTTAAGGAATGGGTCAAAGAACAAAATTCCAAGGTTACCATAAAAAAACATGCTGACTAAGCTTCTTGTTGTACAGCATGTTCAGAGGGTGAACAGGCCCACAGAAAATGTTAATTCCAACTTCGCCAGTTCTGAACTCTATAGGTTTTGCAGTCCCTTATAACCACATATCTAGGAGTGAATCAGCCCTGAAATAAAAGATATACTTCCTTCAGAAAGGGGCAAAGTCCATAATTCTTGCTTCTGGGATAATGCAGACATCCAAAAGTATCTAAACAAGGTGAACGTTGCTTAACCATACTCATCACTGTTCATTTAAGAAACCTACATTGGCTTAGCAAGAAAGAAGGGCAGTAGTGCCAGAGAACCTGTATGTTAACATGTTCCTCATGGAAAAATAGTCACGGGAAACTTTATACTTGAATTCAATGAAACATCAAACCCAAAGTTAACAAAGAATAGCCATACAGTTACTATGTTTAGAATTTTTAAAAATAAAATGCTATCATGAAGTAAGTCCCTAGAGAAGTGTAAGCTTGCAGTACTTAACAGTCTGATCTTCACAGGAATAACATTTAGGATCCTTAGAAGCACTTAGCTTCAACTTAATCTTAGACTACTTACACGTAAAGCAAAGAAGATGAGCTAAGTAAAGCAAAACACTACAGAAAAAAAACCCCACCATACAAGAATGTGTTAATAACAGATTAACACCCCAAATAAAAGTATTGGTTGTGTCATAACCACAGTCCACCACAGCACACTAATTATTTGATTCTATCACAGCATTTCAGCTTAGGCTGTCTAAGACTTATAACAACCAAAACTGTAGCAATCGTTAGAGCTACTTCCTATGCTGTGCCACAAGAATAATCAAAGCTCCCATCTAATTTGAAGGTGCATGGATGTGCATTTTCCCCCATTTTAAGTAAACTGGACAGTTAGGATACCCCAGTTTTTTGTTCAGGACACTGTCTAGGCTTAACCTAAATAAATGACTGCAAGAGCAGTTCACAAAATCAGTTAAGAGGAAGATACCACGCCTCAGTGACTATTGGTAACCAAGAGGGCAGCTGTTCTTTACAATGAACAAGCATCCCTATGGCTCATCAGGTCTGCCTGGATGTGAGCGTGCAGCTGCCCTGCTCTCAGTGACAGCACTCCCGTGACAGGTCGGGGCTCTGTGTCAGGAACAGGCAATTCCCTGCTCAGCCCCTGCCATCCCAGCTCAGGACTCTGTGTCAGGGACAGGCAATTCCCTGCCATCCCAGCTCAGGACTCTGTGTCAGGGACAGGCAATTCCTCGCTCAGCCCCTGCCATCCCAGCTCAGGATGTAAAGAGCAGCCAAAGGCCTCGCCTACGTCACAAATTATCAGCTGTTTCACGCCACTAAGCTTCACCAACCAGAGATATTTAAACTGCCAAATTATCTTAATTATTGATCAGTATCACACGATGCGCTTCCTTTTTATTTTCCTAAGCTTTCAAAGCCACTTGGAAAAAAGTAAATTCATGTTTCATCTCTAACACAGACTATGAAAACACCCTTTTGTGCTTTCTTAGAGCGAAGAAGCACATGAGTAGTGACAACCCCACCTGACACCCAAGCCACACCGAGAGCAAGGCAGGCAGGACCGAGCCGTAGTAACGCGTTCCTGCACTTTAACAAAAAGCACGTGTTTTTCCTTCCCCAACCAGCCGGCATTTAGGAAACACGCGTATCCCACTGCCCTTAGGGTAAATCATCCCCTCCAACCACGTTGCCGCGGAAGCACATGCGAAGAGGCCGCAGCAGCCGCCGAGCGTGGGCCGGGCCGGGAGCGGCGCCAGCCCCGGCGGACAGAGCGCCGGAGACTCGGCCGCGGCCCTTCCCTCCCGCAGCGGCCTCTCCGCCCACCCGGAGCCCCCAGACACCTCGGGCCGCTCTCCCTCCCCGTGCCCTCGCGGCCAGGCCCGGCGGAACGGAGCCGGCGGGCGGCCCGCGGGGAGCCTCACCGGGCTGTGGCGGGCGGCGCAGCGCTCGGGGCAGGCGGCAGGCGCGCCGCCCGCAGCTCTGCAGCAGCATGGACGCCATGGCGGCGCTCGGTGGGCAGGCGGGCAGGAGGGCGGGCGGGCGGCTCCGGCCCCGCTCCTGTCCCACCGCCCAGGCCGCGGCGATCCCCACACGCCCAGCAGCGCCCTGGAGCCGCGTTCGGCCGGCACCGCCCCGCGGCGCCGGGCACGCCGGGAGCCGTAGTCCGGGAGCGCACGGTGAGAACGGCGGTGGCGGTGGGGATGGCGTCACCGAGGGGCGGGCGCGGCTGCGGCTCTTCCCCACAGCCGCCCGAGGGGAGCGGCGGACTCGCGGTGTGCACCGAGGGCTGTCACGGTGCTGGGGTTTCTTTCCCTGAGCGTGGCTCGCTCGCAGCCCACGGTCCCCCCACGCCGGGAAGGCCACGGGCCTTGCCCGCTGGGTGCCAGTGCCTCACGGAGCAGCCCAGAGCGCCGTGGCCACGCATAACCCCAGCGCAAAGTACAGCGCTCCAGCACCGCACGGTGCCTTCCTCTTTGGCAGAGGTTGGTTGGGTGATGCCCAGGGCTCCCTTCCAGCCCTGTGATCCTGCGGTGTGTGCGGCCGTTCCCGCACGCGGCCCAAGGTTGTCAGCACCAGTTCTGCTGCACACACGTGTGTTCCTTGTGGATCTCAGGATGTGACAGGAAGAATGGCTTTCTGGTGGAGCTGTGATGGTTTTTATAGGAAATAGCACATAAATTACTCATTTAACAGATGTGCCGCACTAGTGCTGGTTAATAGTTGGACTAAAAGTAGCTATTCTTCAGATTCTAGTCGAGTCCTCACCAGCAGTAGGATCTCTTATGAAATATTTCAGCACTCAGTTAATGCAGTATTATGTGGCACTTTCTTTATCTTTAACTGTATTGGCAGATGCAGTGAATAACAAGAATCAAACTGCAGAAATTAGATCTTAATCCGAGAAAAGCGACATTTTACAAACTGCGTACACGAGGTTTGGGTGTTAATGCTTTCCTTGTTCCAGAAAAAAATGGGGGGAAAGCTGCTGGGACTGCCTGTGGACAAGATGGCTGCCAGCCCTGCCAACAAGATGGCTGCCCCAAGGCCAGGGCTCCAGGGGGACAAGGGAGCTGTGGGATCAGACCTCTCCTGCCTCACAGGTAACTCACCACACCAGGCACCTGGTCACCTCTACACCTGCCTCGACCCCAAAGAAAATACATGTTACTTAACCTTATACATAAGGGGTAGCAGAAGCTTTCAGGTTTGACCCAAAACGTGACTGAAAACAGCGTCTCATAGCAATAAAAAGCAAGTGAGTTTGCAGTTTATCTGCTCATGCTTAGGACTAGGCAAATGCAGGAAATTAGTTGGTAATTTAATAGAGTTCTTTTATGTATTTAAAGGAAGCGCTAGGAGTTTCTCCAAAGTATGAAAAAATTTAGATGAAATTTATATTATTTATATTTTTATTTCAAAAGTATTAGTGAAGATGGAATATGCAATTGTCTGAATATTAAAAAAATTCATGACACTTTTCTCACTGTGGGTATAGAAATGCTAGTGTTGTTTATGTCTAGTGATAATTAACAAATTAATGGGTATTACTATTTATGTACTTATTAGAGCTACTTTTAAAATGTTAGGCTCCCAAATGCACTGCAAGATTTTTAGCCAGCTGTGTCTGCTTTACAAGTATTTAAATATGTACTGCATTTAAATGGTTAAAATTATTTAAAATGTGCAACTTGACAATAATGCTTTACATTAATGGCAGTCTTGAAAAAAAACAAACGAACATCTTCCCAATCTACACATCTCTCACTAGACTGCATTTGTATCTTTCTCTTGTTATTCATTTTTTCTTTCTGGTTGGCTGATAACAAAACCAAATGAAATGGGGCAACTAATGGCAGTTCCTCTAACAAAGCTGCTTAATTATGTAGAAACATTATATGAAGCCTATACAAGAAGAATAATATGCTCTGAAGTCATTAAACTATTGACAAGAGATTTCAGACAGCAAACAGATGATTACAGAGGTCTCAATACATTTATGCAGACAAGTAACCAGCCTTTCAATAGTTTCATTAAATTCATTAGTATTCAGGGTGGCAGACAATGTAGATGCATGGGCCTTTTCAGAGCTGAATTCGTTATGTTTTTGTACAGTCTTTTGTTCCAGATTTGTTTATACCTGGAAGTTACAGGGTTTGCTACTATATATGAAAAGGGTTGATAATACACTCTGAAAATTTCCCAAATAGATACAGTCTAAGAATACTAATTGATCACCAAGCATTGTGAAGTAATGATTAAGAAAAGACTAAGAATGAAAAAATTTTAAATAATTGTACAAATTGCTGCTACATGAAAAGGCCGAGTGATTGTAGGTGACACATGGGCCTTCCATAGGAGTCAGTTTTTGTTGTAAAGAAAAACATCTTCTACTCTAGCCAGAGCAACAGCCCCTGGGCTCATAAGAGAAAACACTTATGCCCAGAATAAAGCACGATACCACATAGTTACTAGGGTTTGGGGATTTTGTAAAAAAAAAAAAAAAAAAAATTAAAAAAAAATCAACTGCTACACAGCCATTTTAGACTTGGTTCTTAAAGCAACCATGTTGTCTGGAAAAGTCGTCAGCCATCTTGCTGAAAAATCTTTTCCAGCAAGAATAGGATGAGAGAGACTAAAAGGAAGAAATACAAATCCTTCTTTCTAGGTGGATGTAATAAGGATCTGAGAATCGTTAAAATAAAATAAATATTTGAACAAAACTAAGATTACTATTTCATGTTAAATATAATTTTTTCCCCCAGATATTAACTAGAAGCAAAAGCAAGGTAGGAGTTGTCTAAACCAATTCTAAACAACCTCCAAATAAAAGGAGATTTTGATGGCTGTTATAGGCTGTGTGAATACTAAAATATATATTTTATTGCTGTATGAGCAGACCCCAGTGATATCACAAAGGCAGGACTGTTCAACTTGTCTGAAAGAAGGATAGTGCATGACCACAAAAAAGCACAAACCAAGCCTAGGGCTGTGCATTACTTGCATAGACATGACAAAGGAGCAGATGAATCTATAGTTCTTATTGAGGAAGTTTAGAAATCTATCTAGAAATTGGGGCAAATGTTTATATGAACAGGGAGGAGAACTGTAAGTTTGTCATTCCTTCCCTGAAGACACAGCCCAGGAAGCACTCCTAGATCCTGTTGAAGTTTTTGGGGATTGACAGCAGCCACTCCCATCTTGAGGTGCCCTGTAGCTTGTGACAGTACCAAATCTGTGACACTCCTGCCAGAGACACGGACACAGCCTCAGTTCCCCAGTACACCCTGATGATAAATGGAGCTGGCAGCAAAGGCAGGAAGGGCCCTGGAGATGGGATTGAGGGCGTGTGGGGGGAGGAGGTGCAGTGTTTGATGCTGTGGGCTGTAAGTGGGAGGAGGTGGGGACATAATTAGCATCTGATGAGTTGGGAGGCACCTTTGCCATTTCACTGCTGCAACATCGTGTTTGTGTACACAGTGTGACTCAATAAGCTACGTATCAGTACAGGTCCATAGACAGTCCTTAAAAGTAGAATTATGCTTTTAGGCTGGAGATTCTGTTTCCATGGCAACCCCCAGGTTGTCTCCTTGAATAGGTTTAACAATACGGGATTAACCTCATCTTTATTCACCAGTGTTCAGCGTAAATGTAAAGAAGGGGGGGGAGGAAAGACATTGCTGTGTAGCAAGTTGCATTAAGTTTCTACTCCAGGGAGAAAGCCAACCGATTATTAGTAGTTTTTTCAAAAAATACTTCCATTTGTTATCGGGGATTTTTAAGAGAGATTCATGGGATACTGAAGCCTGTTGCTCAGTCAATGTTACACCCAAAGGTAAAAGTTCAAGTAGTGGCTGGATTACAGATCTGCTGTATGTACATCCAGGTCACAAGTTCACTCCTGTCTGTAAATGTGCCAAAAACAAGCGGCACTGGCTACACATTAGCACAGAAACAGGCTGCCCTGGGTGCCTCTTCAAACACTGCCCTGAAAAGCCACACAGAGAGTGATGTGATGGCAATAACGTGCTGCAAACAGTCATTCCTTATCCAAAGATAGTTAACTACTTGCTCAAATTCAAGTCAAAAAGGATCTTTTAAAAGATTGCTAGGCTTGACCCAAATTAGCAACACAAAATGTCATACAAATAACATATTAGGTTGTCATTAGTTAAATTTGGCACGCAGGTGGGCAAGAGCACAGCTAGGGGAGCAGAAACAGGAAATTTTGAAAATCTTTCTGAATTGAGGGAAAAGCATTTGCAGTTCAGAATGAAAACCACCGAGGTTCTCCCTTTTCCCAGCAGATGGAGCTTACGTGAAACAAACAGGCGGAGAAGCTGCGGAACCACCGCACAAAGCAAGACTGGGGCACTGGAGGAACACATGGGACAAAGCCACAAGGTTCTGGCCAAGGCAGGATCCCGGGGGAGCAGGCAGTGTTCAGGCTATGTGCACAACAAAAAAAAAGGAGCATATAGCTATAAAAAGCAAATAGATTTAGACTTTGAGAAATACAGAGGGAGGGGAAAACAGGAGTCTCTAGTGTTACAAACACACTTGTTAGCTCCAGCTGATATGAGAGACTGAGATTTTGCTGCAAAATCATCAATGCTGTATTTAAGTAACCTGTTGTGCCTCCAAATGAATCAGTTTGATTTTTATGAATGACAGGCTTTAAAATTGTGCATTTGGAGTTATTCTTTGCCTCCAGGATTTTTTAGGCTGTAGGGTTGGCAAGTTCCTGTCTGTAATTAGAAACACAGAAAGCCAACAGTCTTATGTCATTATCTGCCTCTCAGTTAGGTCTTTAAGAAAACACCAAATGTTGTGTTACTGTCAATAAAAGCCCTATATCTGCCACCACTGCTTTTATGCACCCACCAAGAAGCAGGACAGAAGATACATGTGACTGGGGAGGGTCTCCTCCACCCCATCACTGATTTTGTCAACCCCTTCCTGGACTTGCTGTATATCACAAAATTCCTAGTGAAGTCAGGCAGTGTTATAGAAGTACTGGAAAGACAGGAGGTCCCTGCAAAACAAAGATACCTTTCAGTATGTGTGTATTAATGAAACAGCAAAAGGTTAAAATAGCACACTATTTTAGGAGAATTTTTACCTTCGTATTCTAAAAAGTAGAAAAATGTGCTAGTTCCCAGGACTATTTTAATGGCAACAATGTAACTTTCTTTAGCAATTTTGCAAGACTGAGGCTGCTTATGGCAAGTACTGGTTGGGAGGGGAGAAGATTACAGCCAGCATATGCACACAACTGTTTATGACTTGGTGCAGGCAAAATGCAACATTGTCCCATTGTCCCCCAGGCATATTTGTTCTTTCTGTCTCAGAGGAGGTGAGCAGAGCTAACCATTTCTGTTAAAAGAAAAGTGAAAAATACTGAAGATGGATATGTTCATTTGCTGAAGCCTGATGCTTAAAATTCCTGAGTAGAATTTAGCCCTCTCGGGCCTCTGCTGTCGTTACCTCTTTCTTCCTGGTTTTGTTGGTGATCTTATCAGTCCTGGCTCATATTTTTCCCTTACAGTCAGCCTGAATAACCCTATCGGAATGTGTCTTTCCAACCTTTGAATTCACTCTCTCTTATTTACCTTTCAGCTTTAAACCTCCTACCTTTCATAATCCAGACCAAGCCTGTAACACAGATCTCACACTTTTTTATCCTGTTCTCCTTGACCTGACTAACACTCCCATCTTCCACGCTGCCGTACAATGACCTCCCCTTTCCAGCATGCAAGCCCACGGCCCCTCCTTTATTCAAGTCAAAGAGCTGCTTTTCTCAAGAGGCCTCCCCACAGAGATAATGAAAAGCAGATTAAGAGATTTTAAAAAGGAGTTGGTTCCTTTGGAATGGTCAGTGCACTTTCCCTTTCTACAACCATCCTCTATACTGTAAATTTTCCAAATCAGCGTTTGTCTGGATGTCTGTGCCTTGACCTCAGCAGGACCTAAGCTGTTGGGCCCCAATCCTACACATGCATATGCATGCCATGTCCCTTTGCTATCAGAGACATTCACACAGAGTGATAAAGGATCAGTGCAGTTATGTATTTGTAAAATCAAATCCTGTTGCTTTCCAGAT